AACCCTAAACCCTAAACCGTATTTCGGCCCCTACCTTAGTTGTGGATCTCTTATTGGAGCACCTGGGGACGTCAGGGCTTTGTGGTAATTCACGTAACGGGTGGCAGCATTAGATGGATCCAGGTGAATGGGCCTCTCGCATTTGGGTTTAGGGTTTAGGGCCTCTCGCATGGCTTCACTCGACCCCCACCCAGTACTTGCTAATCCCTTGGTCCAACAAGCAGATAGCGCGGTTCAGAGGATGCTTTTTCTCCGATGCCGGGGCCAACTGTACAAGACCCGCTGGAAGATTCTCTCGGTAGACATGCGAGCTGCAGTCGCACGGCACTTGGCGCTGTAAGAAGGTGCATTAAATCGACCCACCGATGCGTCATGTCTCTGTCTCTATCAGTCTCTCACCCTCTCCCTTTCGCTCTCCCTCTCTCTTTTATATCTTGTCTCTCTGTTCTCTCTTTTCTCTCAGATTACGGAGTCGATTGAAATTCTTCGATAAAGCTCTCGCGACATAGACTCCTTTCTGTTTATGTTCTCTCTTTTGTTATCTCTCTCTCTCTCCATCTCTCTATCTATGAACCTATCTATCTACCTATCTTTCTTTCTTCCAACTCATCAATCTATCTATCTATCTGTCTGTCTGTCTGTCTGTCTGTTTGTCTGTCTGTCTGTCTGTCTGTCTGTCCGTCTGTCTCTCTCTCTCTCTCTCGCCACCTGTCACTGTTTGGTATACCTAGCTATCCGTCTGACTATCTCCGTTAGTGACTTTCGCCATCATCATCATCATCACCATCATCATCATGACCAATGCGGTAGCCGGTAGCCAATGCCAGAGAAAATTCACCCATCGCCAGATCTTTTGCTCGTCTACACGGACTTACAGTCAGAGGACGTAAGGCCAAGTCTACAGAGAATCCCCCCGCATCCGGGGCTCAGCAGAAACTTGAGAGACTGCAAGCAATGACATCTGCTGCCTTCGGCGAGCAAGCAATGCATCACAAGGTTCTACTTGAGCAAGCTCAACATAAGTTAGTCGCTCGCCCATGTCACCTCCTGAACTAATCACCAAATCCCAAGCTCGGTTGTAGGTGTAAACCGAACAAGGAACCAGTGGGAAACCCTAGTTGACGTCTAATTAGCCGTCGACATCCATCGCAGTATCTTCCTTCATCACAATCTCGACCATGCCAGGCGGCGGAGGCCCTCGGAAATTGTGTGCTAAGGCAGCTTTCCGCAGGTTCAGCAGACCCTAAACCCTGAATGCCAAAACCCTAAACCGGTTCATGGGTTCTCAATACCGGCCGGGACCTGTACGGAGCACCACCCTCGGTCTCACGAGCTTGGTAGGGTTGAAGTGTGTTTCGGACCGATGCTCAATGATCTCTGGGCGTCGCAAAACGCATAACGCGAGGTTGGAACGTGAATAGACGACTGTTTAAGAAAGTGTCACATTCAGAATTTTTCTGAGGAAAATAAAACAATCAATGCCAACGGTAGAGCTCGCCCCACAAGAAGGGAGAAGTGGACAGAAGACCTGGGCAAAACAGGTCCTGGTGGGTCAAGGCACGCTCCCGTACTAAGGCTCCATGTGCTCATATAGTATATACAGTGGCCCTGAGGTACCTACCTTAACCTATCAGAACCTACTTTTTTGTAGGGCCCCTATAAATCCCATATTCGGGTTTATAGTAAGAACCTACAAAAAAGTGGGTTTTGGTAGGTTAAGGTATATACCCACTCCAGTCTTCTCATTGGCATCAGGCTCCACACCTTTCAGCACGAACTGAGCAATACCAGCACCACGAGCACCAGCCATGACTTGAAGCAGTAACGATAAACGCAAAGTGGCGGAGGGGGGGAACCTGATACTAGTAGTACTCATCTAGGTCCCTGTTAAGTTGACCCAGGTTCCTGAGTGACCCCTACTTAATAAGGGTACCCTTTTTTCCTAGTATTCGGTTCTAATAAGGAGACCCCCAATATAAAAGGGGCAACAGGGTAACACTCAGGAACCTGTCCCAAACCCTAAACCCTAAACCCCAAACCCTCGAAGGGTACTTATCAGGAGAGCAGAACTCAAGCTAACGTTGAGGCCTGAATAATTAGAACAGGGTTTTGGGCCCATTATACTAAAATCCTAATAAGGAGCACCCCAAAATAGTATAGGTAATTGCTAAGGCTCCTAAACCCTAAACAGGTTTGCTTTCGGGGTTCCTTTAAGGGGCCAGGGGTCTACCTGGAGAGTTTCAAAGCAAGAGCCCGGTTTTTGCAGCAACGGCCGCTTCAGGACCCCCAGGCCCATACTTGGATTGGTTTAGGGTTGAGGGGTTTGGGGTTTAGGGGTTTGGGGGTTTAGGGTTTAGGGGCTGAGGATTCAGGGTTTGGGGGTTGAGGGGTCTAGGGTTTGCGGGTTAGGGTTGAGGGCAAGCCCGAAGAACCGCAAAGCCAAACTCCAGAAGTCCCAACCTAGGGTTTGGGGTTCGCTGTAGGGGCCTTAATTGTTCGAACAGGGATCTGGGGTCTATTATACTATAATTAGTGGGGAACCCCCCCAAGATAGTATAGGTACTGATTTAGGCCCTTGTATTCGTCCGATTCCGATGATTCCACCCTGGAACCTCAAACACTCCACAGCCTTAAACACTTAAACTTCAACCCGCGACCCTAAGCCAGATAAAGCCTTCATCGCAAACAGCTTAAACTCCAAACTCCAGGCCTTATTTCGGATTCAGGGTGTAGGAGTTAGGGTTTAGGGCTTAGGGGTCTCAGGCTAGGATTTTAGAGGTTTAGTGCTTAGAGGTTTCGGAATTATTTTCCCATGTGCGTTAGTCTCCGAAAAAGCAGGGACCTCTTTCTTGCAGTGTTTGGGTCAGGGGTGCTGTGTGGGGAAACTTCCTGGTGGGTTTTCGTTCTTGGGTTTAGAGGTCTGGTGGGGTGGTTTAGGGCTTAGGGTTTCGGGTTCAAGAAATGCAGAGTCCTAAAGGCAATGCCGAGACTCCTTTCAAGAACACATTCGCCTTGAATATGGAGAAGCGGTCGCGGGCACCTCAACAGTTGGGCGTTGCTCGATAGTCAGGACCATGTTGTCATTCCTAATTGCGGAAGCCGTAAGATGTCGCAGGTGGTTTGCACTTTGTGATTCTGCTCGGATGTGTGCAGTCTTCTGTGGGTCTCGTTGGGTGACGCGAGGATTTAGTTGGGCGTTGCGAGATTGTTGTGGGGCTGTTCTGGGTCACGGCTCCAGGATTGCATCAGGCTACACACCGGCTCATTCTGACAAGTATCGTCCATGTTCCTAAATCTAGTAGGCTCATACAACCGTACATCTACCTCCTAAACCCCCCTACCCTCTCACCTTTTGTGCTGACCTGAGTTGCCTGCAGTCACCTTTTTGTGGGTGAACTCTTAACTTAAAGGGACTCCTTTTTTCTCAGTCAGAAACCCTAGATGGTTAGAGTAAGAAGCCTGAACCCCAAGCTCTAGTTCGAAAGTCTAAACTCTAAAGCCTCATGGTACTTGAGGCTTGGGCTACTACCACGTGTCGGATTTAGGTGTAGCGCTCAGGGTTTCGCGACGCGAAGAGTGGAGCCTGGCAGCGCCCGGAAGCGCAGGCTAGGATTGAAGGCCTAAAACTACGGTCGATGATATAATTTATTATAAGTGCTGCAATTACTCAGAATAAGAAATATCCCAAAATTCCCATAGTTTAGGGCCCTTAAGCTAATGCAGGATTTATACCATCAGCAGTAGGGGGCCTGAACCTTGCAACTATAGCATCTATAGAGTAATTCATAATAAAGGGCTTTGGAACGGCCTTAGAGGGTTTTTTTTACAAAGGTTTTGCACAGGTTGAAAACAGGGTTTAGTAAGTTTACTACAACTGTTCAGAAGGTTAAGGGTTTAGGGTTAAGGGTTTAGGTTTAGGGTTTAGGGTTCCCATGTACTTGCAAGTTTAAGGTCAACGCATAGGCTAGAGCCCGGTACAGAGTCAGAGTGCACCAGCAGCCCGACAGGCAGACATAGTCAAAGGAGCTTTCGATTGAAAGCGAAGAACTCCAAGAAGGTTGGAAGTACACAGAGGAAGCGCAAGAGCCTCAAGCAAGGTCAAGAGTACATCCTAAACCTTAAACCTTCACCCGCTAGACCCCTAAATCCTAAATCCCTATAAACCCTAAACCCCAAACCCCTAGACCCTAAACCCCTATAAACCCTAAACCCCTAAACCCCTCAACGCCTAAACCCTAAACCCTCAACCCTAAACCCAAAACCACTAGACCCTCAACCCTAAACCCCTATAAACCCTAAACCCTCAAGCCTAAACGCCCTAAATGCCCTAAACCCCTATAACCCCTAAACCCCTAGACCCTAA